AAACACCTTTCTTTACATGTAATTCATGTATGAAATACTGTACCAGACATTTACAAATGATTAATGCAGTAAAATGCTAGTTCAGAAATGATGGATGATAGAATAAACAATGTTAGGTACTTATGCACTATCCCATCAATCCCGAAACTGTTGCCAGGTATTATAATTTCGTGCCAATTATGGATAAGCATAAAGTCACAATACACTCATAACATCTGCACTTTTGCTTGAGGATAACCACAAATAAACAATGGCGAGGCAATATGAAAAATTGTGAAATGAGAGTATCCATTCAAAAAGGAGCATGTTTCAAGCGGGGCTGTGGAGTTGGAGTCGCAATCAGAGTCAGGTAGATTTTTGGGTAAAAGGAGTTGGAGTCACTAAAATACACGTCGACTCCGACTCCAGTTTTTGTTGAACAGTTTGAATTTGAAATTAAATTAAAGTGAATTGAAAAAAAAAATAATGACAAACTCGGTTAATATTTTTATTTATGGACTATATATAGTCGATTCCGAGTATCGTACCACATGGAAGCCGATCATTCTTCTAATAACTGGCTGGTCCGATTACACGAACATGTCCTATATTGTAAGATGGACATGCTATATGAGCAAACAGTCAATGCACATTAGATCATGTACTATATATAATTATGACTTTATGTGCGGTACCTCATGTATGGCAAAACTAATGTACAACAAGAATACCGTCGAACTTTTGTCATTGAGAAAATTAATTTAGAAATAAATTCTAAGAAACAATAACGACTCAAATGCAGCACAAAAAAACAATCCAACCAAGTGGAGAAACAAGAAGAAAATCCAAGTGATCTGAGGCGTGACGAATCGCCACAAACATCTAACACAGCAATGGGACGCCTTCATTTCCCGCCTGCATGAATACCGATGTAAAGTTTCAATGGCATTTCCTCGCATCATGTGGTGTCACGCACAACTTATTATCGTATCATCATCAAACATTTTGGTCTTCCGATGCTGTAGTGTGTTTTGCTGAACGAGTGCAGCGTTTAATCTTCAATTTCATCGAGCATGAAGTCGTTGTCAATGGAAAAATTCTTTGCAATTTGTACCGTTGAAGTTTCCACATTAAATCACATTTCCTTTCAATTAAGCGTCCACATCATCTCCAAAAACCAAGTGCTTAAAGCCACAGTAGAAAAATAGTTTGAATTGTTCACTGCTCACTTTCGCCAGCTGTCGACCACAAAGCCGCTGTAAGATGTTGACCTTGCACTGTTCGCTGGCTTTTAGGATGAGGTCCAACTTTCTTCAAATGCTTTAAGGATGTAATTAACCAACTTTGCACGATAAAGGGTCTTCAAATTTTTTATGATGCCCATGTCCATTAGCTGGACCAAAGTTGTGGCCCTGGGAGGTAGAAATTCCAGTTGGACGTTCATCAAGCAACAATTGTCAAGAAGAAGCAGCACTTTTTTCGACTGGCATTGTAGTTCTCTGTTTCAATCCTTCAGCCATTCCTTAAAAAGTTCAGACGTTATCCATGCATTTCTGTTCACACAATACACAACTGGTAAACTCTCCATCCTAAGTCCTTTAAGCAGCAGGCTTAGTGCTTTCTTATAACAACAGATCCTCTGTTCGTTCCTGACATGTTTGCAGCACAAACCATTACAATCCATCTTTTTTGGAGCCAGAGAGTGGAACTGTTGTAACTTAACGAGCTGTCCGCGTAACACGATAAACTCCCAGTCCCATCAACATGTAGATGTCATTGCTGAAAAATTTCAAGAAGCTCGGGCAGTTTTGTTGATTTCCATCTCAGCATTTGCACTATCGCACTTTCTTCTCGCATGTGCTTTCTTGAATTTTATGTCATGTCTAGATTTCCATCGAGACAACCAACCGTCCATAGCTTTAAAGTCATTGTGGCGCAGCTTTTTAGTGAGTTCTTCTGCTTTGCATTTTAACCTTGGACCACTTACTCGCACAGATCATCCAGTAACAATGGCAAACCATTCGTTAAGGGCCTCATCGATATCTGGGTCATTGCCTTCATGCTTCCTTTTTTTGAAAGTTCCTTCACATTGTGCCCATTCTTCTTGCAGCTCATTCTTTTGTTTTATCAAGTGCGCAATTGTAGTCTTTGCCAATCCGGTTATTTCCACCAATCGACGCTGACTAGTGTTTCATGGTTGCTGCTTGATCTTATCAAGAAAACCAATTTTTCAGCTAACGTCAAGTCCCGTCGTGGCATTTTGGCAGGGGAGACAAGACACACACGCAGTTGACTGATTAAAGTGGTCTGAAGAAACTTTGGTGTTTCGGGTTCAAGATGTTGAGGTCCAGAGGGAGATAAAATGCTCGCCATTCAAAGCTTGGCACTAAAATCATCCCAAAAGGTACGAATGAAGCTTTCTCTGGAAACTTTAATCATGATGAAGGCAGGAATTCCTTTCAGTGGAGCCAGACACTATGTTATTCCTGAAACTCGGAGGCGCAGGTCAAGGAATTGGTTCGCGTGTTCACCCCCACCAGTTTAGTTCTGTCATGCACTGTCAAGAATCCTACCTTGATAATGCTTTCCTGGGGAGCCGCAACTACAGATCCTCCCATATGTCGCAGACCACCTGTACATCTGCTGTATGCGGCCGACTTATAGCTTCTGTTTCTTATTCGCTCTCACGTTTTTTGGTCTGTTTACACAGAATTTTGGTCCAAATAAGTGAGTAATATTAGCCTTATGTACAAAGGATTTGTTCTGGTTCTTTAGCATTTGGTCCGAAAAAGTGGCTGGTCTGATTATCTAGTGGTCCAATTAACTGGAATCGACTGTACATTAATAAATAGTTATTTTCAATTTTATTGACATATTAGTAAATAAATATAAGGGAACATGATGGATGTGATATTTGCCATTATTGATTAAACTGATTCATTTAGTTACTAATCTCACTGGTGAATTGAGGTAAGCAGCGAGAACTCCCAAAATTGGTGCTATTCTTAGGAAGCGAGCAGAAAAAGGAGAAACGCAATGGAGAAGTACATATCTGATGATATAGTGGTTGTTAGGATTAAGAACTTCTTCAGAAGATGTAAATAACCCTAATATTTCACTAACGGAAAGACAGTGGAATGATCTTGTAGAACTGAAAATCCTTCTTTCAACAGCGTATATAGCCACCAAAAAGCTACAATCTGAAGGATTAGCAAAAGGCAGGACTGGAAGAATGCAATGTTTGTTCTTTCTGATATGGAGGGTTTATTGCAGAATGGAACTCTGTTCTTACTGTAGATAGCCACCAAAGCTACAATCGAAGAATAACAAGGCAGGACGAAAGAATACGATGTTGTTCTTTCTGAATGGAGGGTTTATAGCAGAGGAAACTTTCTTCAATGGAAAAAAAACTAGTTTGCTAGACAGTAAGATCACGCGTCGGTTCAACATATGAATCCAAAAGCAATTTGTTGGATGACAAACAATTAAAAGCAAAGAAAACATCTATGAACTTTCATAAGAAGAAATTATTTCAGAGCAACTGGGGTATTCAAACAGACAGTCAAACTGCAGAATGAACCAAGTCTCTATCATCTCTTCAACGATGAATTAGATTTTGAGAAAATTTGGATAATATTGAACGGGTATGCAAGCGAATAAAATAACGAACTAAGAGCTTTAGATCTAAAAATTAAAAAATCAAACAAGATTTATACATCGCCTTTTACTAAAACAAATATGATGGCTCTTGCAAGACACCTCTTTTAGACTTCAAAAATCATCCTGAAAGTTAAAGGAGTAGCCATAACAGTAACAGCTCTTCTTCCTACTCAGTCAGATGGAAGACTCTTCTCAATTCAGAGTTTATTCGATCAAATCGGATCTATGGTCTCTAACAAAGAAGATCTGCTGAAGTTTACTGTTTCTAAATACTAATGCAGTGTTTCATTTCACAACACTGTATTAAAATTATAAAAATAAAACTTTGCTACGCAATAAAAATATAAAAATTTGCTACATCAATTTTTATTCTGTAGATCTACTACTTCTTTTTATATGTTTACATATATAAGACGATTCAAAGTCAGGAGTTATTAAAATTCCAGGTCGGAGTCGGTCATTTTCCCTACCAACTCCACAGCCCTGGTTTCGAGGGCTGTAGAATCACATTTGTGACTGCATTTTGATTCATTTACAGTTGCTTGAGGGAATTAACATCTGTTGAATGGAGAAACGAACAGCTGAATATGGCCAATAAAATAATAAAAGACTGGAACAATTACTTGCAGGAAATTTGAATTCAGAGCATTTTAAATAGAGCTTCCAGTAAAACTGAAAGGCCTAACATAACAGTAGAAATCAACAAACCCTGTTTTAAGAGGTGCAAAAATGAAGTAGGTTGAATACTTATACAGCAGCAGCCATTTGGTAGACTGTATAAGGATTGGATTGGATTGGATTATTCAATTACGGCAAAGCACACGGGGCTATCTGCCTAAAGGGAGGGATGCCTTCGTGGAGGACTTTCTGGGAAACTGGCTCGTATATCGTTACACATGGGAAAACCACAAAACACATGCAGCCAGCCCGTTCGCGGGATTCGAACCTCAGACTGAACTACCAGCGTCTTTACCGCTCGGCCGCTGGTGGGCCGTAGGCTGTATAAGAAGAATGATGAATGTTTTATTGTAAGAGTTGTAGACAGAAGCTCAAATTTCTGCAGGAACAACTGACACATCCTTTGGGAGGATATCTGTCAAATTTCATGGTTAGATGGCAGATAACTTTCACAGTCTACAGAATAATACATAAATACCTCATGTTATTTTTATAGAATTTCATTCAATACCAAAAATGGCTAACAATACGCATGGGAAAATGATCACTGCAAGAACAACAGACCAAAGTTCTGAGGTAGTTCGAGATTACTTTAGAGACATTTCTGTAAGTAATAACAATTCTGCAAAACATTCATTTGTTCAGTATATTTGTCAAAAAAAATAAAGAATGGAAAAAATTACCTTTAATACATCCCTAGATAAATCTTCTTCAGTCTCTATTTTGAGAATAAATCTCACTCCGTATGGTTCGATACCAGATCCACTCTTTACTTCATTCGTTTTATGCCCACAAGCATCACAGGTAGTAGCCATAATGACAACATCTTTAAAATGAGGTATTTTTATGAAAAGAGTTAAGGTATTTTAACAAAAGTAAATGTAACAGAAAATTTTTGAAGTTTCAGATTTTAATTCGAGTTTTTTTTTTTTTTTTTTACATTTTGTGTGCTACCTGATTTAGGAAATATCACGTTCTTCAACTTAAACATAAAATCAGTTCACAGCAATATCACCAAATATTTAACTGAGCATAACAGTCTCAGTGCTGGAGATAAAATGTTTTTCTGTACCTGTGCCATTGCTCACTTGAAAGCTTGATTTGTTAATCAGGAATCGATAATAAACCAAGTCCAATTCCAAATTCAAATTTGGGCTCCCAGCGCTCATATGCAAATAGGATACATAATCTGCCTTGTTATGTTCACGATAATTTGGAAAAGCCTCTTTAAGTGTTTGGGGAATCTTTCCAAGAAAAAGAACAAAAGAATGTGTTACGAAGTAGTGCTCAATCATAAATCTTCATTTTGCCTATGAAAAACTCGCTTATGTCTTGCCTGAAACAAAAGTGACGGAAAACGGAGATACCTGATGTCTAAAAAGGGTAAGTAAGGATTTATCCAACATCTTCTCTTACCTGGAGAACTAACACCTTCCTTGATGTCCATAAAGACGCTCTATCGGAAGTATATAAACATCAGATTCGTATATAAGTATTCAAGTGGCAGAGGTTCTGCTCATATACAATAGTCTTTTACGTTTACGAAGTAATACATTAGTATACATATGAAAATACGGTGTATATACAATGCCTGCAGTAATTCACATAAATATATGTACAAATACAATATACTCAAAATACAGCTAAACAAACATAATAATATAATTAAATAAAATACCTAAATCATAAGAAAATTAGACAATAAAATTGCAAATTATAAATCTGCAACCACTTAAGAGCTTAAACTAAGTACAAAATAAATAAAAGTTTTCAATGCAAACGTGGGTTTCACTTATAATGATATTAGTCAAGTTATATCTAAATATTGAAAATTATGTTTCACATCGCATATATTGTAATTATTATAATACAAGGTAAAATGCATATATTGTAATTATTATAATACAAGGTAAAATGCATATATTGTAATTATTATAATACAAGGTAAAATGTCATTACTACGTTTAATAGTTAAATATCTATGTCAGGCTCTTAGAAGTTTATTTAACGTTCTTTGAATAGTTCTTTAGCACTTTTCTGTTGTAATTATCACTTCTGAACTTTATTGATGGCTTCACTCTGTTCGACAAATATCTTGCCATGCAACCGAAACAGTAATGATTGTATTGCAGGTATTGATGCACGGCTTTTGATAATAAATGGGTCCATATTGCAGGTCGATTGACATAAATTAATGGCAGCTGTAAGTGGACAATAAAACGCCTAATGGTCAAGTGAGCCTTCTAGTCCGCAGGCACATGTGCTTGTACATTAGATGGAAAAGCGATGAAAATAGATTGGAAAGGGGTCATGCCCCGTAATAAGTGTTAGTTGTGAGATGGCTATGTGTTTGTTTCAGCTAACTTAGGAATGAAACTATATGTGCGTCTGGTAGGTTTCTCTTATATTTCATTCTATTTTCCGCTGTTGTGTTGCATTTTCATAGAGAATTCGTTTCAGGTGAGAAGAAAGTGATGGGATATTTTTGCGCCTCTGCTGCATGATTACTGTTTGCTTCTTTAGATAGTCTATTCCCTGCTTCGAAACCTATAAGACTTACATGGGCGTTAAATTGTATAAGTTGTATATAGATCTGATAATTATATTGTAAAAGACATTGAATATTTACTATTAAGGGGCAGGTATACTTGTGATTCAATATTGCGAATAAAATAGACGTTTTGTCGATGTAGATAATTGCATTTCCTGATGCTGCTTTAATTGCGAAGTAGATG